TTGTCATTCCTCTGTAGCATCTGGTCCCCACTGGACCCTCATCATTTCCTTCACCTGCTCCCCCCACCGACCAAACTGTGCAGCTCTACAGCTGCATCCTGGCCCATCCTCACCCTTCTACCCCCCCAACCCTCACCTCCTTGTACCCCCAATATGTTTTTCCCAATAAAAATTAAAAAAATAAAAAATCACAGGGCATGCAAGCATGTTTGAGAAATTGTCCTGAGGAGTTGCATCCTTTTCCTGAACTGAATTTTAACCTTTTTATTTCCATAATAAACACCATAATTATGAAAAGTTGCACCAAGAAATGTGGAGGACAACCAAATGGCCAACTGACTGAAAGAGATCTGTATTTGTTCCCATTCCAAAGAAAGGTTATCCAACAGAGTGTGGAAATTATCAAACAATATCATTAATATGACATACAAGCAAGATTATGTTTAAGATTATCCAAAAATGACTAAAACAGTACATCAACAGAGAACTTCCAGATGTGCAGACTGGGTTTAAAAGAGATCGTGGTACTAGGGATATTGTAGCTAATGTTGGATAGATCTTGGCTGAAAGCAGGGAGTACCAAGGCATGTTTATCTGTGTTTCATTGGCTATGCAAAAGTGTTTGACTGTATGGACCACAACAAACTGTGACAAACTGAGAAGAATGGGAATCCCTGAACACTTGATTGTGCTTATGTGAAACCTATACTTGGACCAGGAGGCAGTCATCAGAACAGAGCAAGGAGACATTGCATGGTTCAAAATTGGGAAGGGTGTATGCCAGGTTGTGTCTTATCTCCATACCTTTTCCATCTATACGCAGATTATCTGGAAGGCTGGGCTCGATGAGGAGAAATGTGGCATCAGGATTAGAGGAAGACTCATCAACAATCTGTGTTATGCAGATGACACAACCCTGCTTGCTGAAACTGAGGAGGATCTGACACGCTTGCTGCAGAAGGTCAAGGACTGCAGCATTCAATATGGATTGAAGCTCAACATCAAGAAAACAAAAGTTCTCCTCACTGGGCCGACTGGCATTGTGATGGATGGTGAAGAGACTGAGATTGCTATTAGCTTTAGTTTGCCTGGCTCTACAATCAACACTCTTGGTACCAGCAGCCAGGAAAGTCTGCTGTCAGAGATCTCTCTAAAGTACTGAAGAGCAATGATGTCTATCTGGAGATTAAGGTGAGCCTGGTATAGACCATGGTCTTTGCAATCACTTGCTATGCATCAGAAAGCTGGAAATGTCAAGGGATGATAGGAGAATTGATGCCTTTGAACTGTGGTGTTGGAGAAGAGTACTGAATATACCACGGACTGCTAAGAGAACAAACAGGTTTGTCTGGGAGAGGGTGAAACCAGGTTGTTCTTTGGAGGCAAGGATTCTGAAACTTTGTCTGACATACTTTGGACATGTTGCAAGGAAGGACTAGTCCATGGAGAAGGATATCAT